GAAATCAAGAGTCGGACACTTAACCAACTGAGCCATCCAGGCACCCCCAGAACCATTTTAATTATAGCTTCCCCAACTCTGGATCTCCAGGCCTGGAAACACACCCAACATACCAATCTCTAACCTGTACGGGTTCTCCAGGAAACAAACCTTTGCATCTGGACATTTCAGTGTTATCTTGAGTGCACCCAGCCACTGCTCCCATTCTTTTTTTTCCCCAGCAAACACAGAAAGCAAATATGGAAGGTCTCCCCCTAGTTTGAATGGACTCCACACTCCCCTGAAGTGCTTATCTTCCTTTAGGTTCTGTGATCAGTGTAGAGAGTGAATCATGAGCCAGAAAACTCAAAAAATGAGTAAGCAGGAGTTATATCACTTTCGTCGAAACAGCGTTGGTGTCTGCTTTCCCTGAACTGAGTTACAAGGCCAAGTCCAAAAGGTGAGGAGGGAGCAACTAGAAGAAGTGTCTGCGGTCTCTGCTGCTGGATGGGGATTGAGTAATTAGATTGGAAAATATTGGAAGGGTTCAAGAATGATTCTGCCACTGTTTCTGTGGACAGAGTCATTTTGCTCTTGTTTCAGCCAAGATTCAGGGTTTTTATTTATAAAGAGTTTGTTTTCCAGTTGTTCATTTTATGACATTTGTCTAACACCCACCCCATACCTATAATACCACTGAAATAGTAGATGGAAAATTGAAAAAATAAAAGAAATAGGTTATTACAAGTTATCTATTCTCACTCATGGCAGTTTCCCCTCCTCCTTCCCTATGCAAATGCTTTATGCAAAATTTCAAGACCAGGGAAAAACAGTTATTCAGGTAATAATGAATTAGCTTTCTTTCTTATTTGAAGTGACAGTGACTTTATTTTTTGGGAGAAGGAAAAGTTAATTTAATTTAATTTATTTATATTTTAAAGATTTTATTTACTTATTTGACAGAGAGAGACACAGCGAGAGAGGGAACACAAGCAGGGGGAGTGGGAGAGGGAGAAGCAGGCTTCCCGCTGAGCAGGGAGCCTGATGCGGGGCTCGATCCCAGGACCCTGGGATCATGACCTGAGCCGAAGGCAGACACTTAACGACTGAACCACCCAGGCGCCCTGGAAAAGTTAATTTTAAAGGATAAACTAAAGCTACCTCTACCTAGTAGAATACTGAATGAATAGAGAGAAAATGTAAGTCTACACATTTTTAAAAAAATTTAAGTCTACGTACTTTTTAAATGTGAAATAGATATTGGTAGGTTTTCAAACATCTGGAAGATGGAATCTGTCACTTCCTAGTGGGTTTTCTGTGCTATAAAATGAACGGACCACTGCTTCACGGGTCACTGCTGAAGAGTGAATGGGGGTCCACAGAGGAAAATCTGGCTTCCATGTTTCTGCCAAGAGGGGCACTTGTCCAAACCCGATCAGCCCAAGACAGGTTGGCTGTCAGTTATGGGCCTAGTGAAATGATTTTATCTGGGAAGGTTGACTGCCAGTCCTATGCCTACAGTTTCTCTGGAAGGTTTGGCTGTGCCTGACTTCTTCCCTCTGAGCTTGAGAGTCTGTTTTGCATTTTGGGGCATGTGTATCTTCTCAGTGGAAATTTAAAAATTCTGTACTTTCATCTCAGTGACAATGGAAAGGAAATTAAAACAAGAATGTTCCAGATCCTCAGGCTGGCCCCTTATGGTTCATGCTTGTGTTGGTGTTAATGATTATGTTTATACCAGAGGACAGTTAAGTAGTCTCAACTGGTATGTGAACAGAGGGTTCATTCTTGCTCAAACAGAAAATGCAGTCAGGGGAACTTCTCCCCACTTTGAGGTACTGACACTCCACGCTAGGGCCCCTGTGCCTTGGGGTCAACACCCCGCTAGCTTCACCGGCAAGCGTTGCACTGTCCTGTCTTTGCACATACCTGATTGCAACAATCAGTGGCAGTAAATATACGGCAGAGAACTTTCCCTCCCCAATTCCAGAAATAATTGGGTTGATAATCTTAGAGCCATATTTCAATACAACCTTACTTCAAATGAACAAGACCACTGCAAAGAGCTATCGAGCCGCAGAAACCTCATTACCAGGGGTTGCACGTGAGTGTGAGACGTGAGTACCTCAAACTTATTAACACCATTTTGTAAAACAAACCTATGCAAGTAGAGAATCTGTGTTAATGATAATGAAGTCAAAACACTGAAACAGGTAAAATGCAAAATCGGCCTTGAGGCTATATCTTTGTTAAACTCCAAATGCAAATGAACACTATCCCTAACACCAAACTAATTTTGAAATTTGGATTGATTAATTTTTCAGTGTTATTTATATTACATTTGCAAATGTGCCTTTTGACTTGTAGAAGACATGCATTAGGAATTTAAATCTAGTGTTTATACTTGAATACATTAAAATAACATTAAAGGGGCGCCTGGGTGGCTCAGTCGTTAAGCGTCTGCATTCAGCTCAGGTCATGATCCCAGAGTCCTGGGATCGAGTCCCACATCGGGCTCCCTGATCAGTGGGAAGCCTGCTTCTCCCTCTCCCACTCCCCCTGCTTGTGTTCCCTCTCACTGTCTCTCTCTCTCTCTCTGTCAAATAAATAAAGAAAATCTTAAAAAAAAAAAGAAAAAAAATAACATTAAAACAAGTATAACTTAAGTGAACATTGAGGGTCTGTAAGAATTTTTTTCCTTTAAAAGGGATTCCTATAAAATTCTTTTTAAAAAATAGTTCTCTAAACTATCTAGTGACAGGATTTATAAACGCTCGCATGCACATGCACACACACAGCACTCGAAGGTTCTGAGAGAAGGCCTAACAGGCAGTTTTGGTCTGGCCCAATTCTAACTCTGTGAGCTTGGGCAAAGTGCTCTGCCCCTCTCAGGCTCCATCTGTAAAGTATGTATGGGGCATGTTGACAGCTATTGTTAGTCCACGACAGCTGCCCAAGGAGAAGTCTGTGTGGGGCTGGGATACGAGGTTCTGGCGAGGTGTGAGGCTAGGAAGGCCCCTCCACACTGGGGGCTTTTGCTTTGGGTCAGGAGAGATTTCTGTTTGGAGCCTGAGCGTCTCAGGACTCCATATTAGGGCAACCCACTGAGGCTTAGGTGAAGGCAGAACAGGGTCTGAGCCCTGGCTCCATCTGTATATGACCTTGGGCAAGTCACTCAGACTTATTTTCCTTGTTTCTAAAAGGGTGATAATAATAGCACCAAGCTCACAGGGTGGTTTGCAGAGGTTACACAAAATGTTGCAAGCCAATTGTTTACTCAAGTCCTAGTACATTGTTATTCTCCCTTTGTGGAGCAGTATGAACTCCTGAGATGGGTGCTCTGTGTGGCCAGAGGTCAGCTCCAGGCTGATTGCCTCCACCAAGGCCTCTAGCTCTGCATGGACCCAGGTCCTAGTCTCTGGAGAGATCATGAGCTTTTGCATTTGAGGTGAGGGAGACTCAAAGCTAAGGCTGGGTCAGCAGGATACAGGGATGTGGGAGAGGCTCATCTTTGCTCCCGTCCCTAGTGGAGACAGGCCTCACTGAATCCGCAGCTGGTCACCCACTGACCTGACTCATGTCCTCTTGTTTATACCCAGTCCCCACCTCTCTAAGAGGGTATTCACTGCCTTCCATAACTGTGCCCACACAAACCCCCTCCTCCAGCCAAGGTCGCTCTTTGATTTTCTTCCAAGTAAGACTCGGGTGGTAGCACCCTCTTGCCTTTGCTCATGCTGCTTTTCCTTCTGTGTCTCTGCCTTTTCCAAACCCTACCTGCCTTTTAAGGCTCACTTGTATTTCCTCCTCAGTGGAGCCTTTCCTGAGCACTTCCATACTCTTCTCATCTCTGCAGCACTAGCCCTCCGGCCTCACTTGGCACCTTGTCATACCCAGCCTGGGGTGCACTTTCATTACTTTGAGGGTGCTAGCCCCAAGAATCCTGAGGTTGCAGTGAGCTCTCCATCAGTAGGTGTGGAGTGTATAAAAGAATGATTCACTGTGTGACTTAAGTCTTTACTTGTTACCTTCTGTGTGTTTCTAAGTCTTGACCCTATAGTCAGATGGCAAGTTCCTGGAGGGGAAAACCCCGTTTTCTATTTCTGGTGCTCCTTCCAATGCCCATCTTGGATCAGTGTCCCTCTCAAGAACTTGATGTATATTTATGGAAGGAAAAAAGAACTAAGAAATAAAAATGATGTTTATTCACTGTCTTACTCTGTTACATGAGTGAAAGACACTTTTAACATTTCTCCTTTTTTTTTTTTTTTTACACTTTTACCACCTACTCTTGAGACCTGAATTTTTCTTCAAGTGAAAATGACCAATCTACAAAGCCAACAAACACACAACCCTTCTGTGTTTAATACCAGTCTGGGGGAGCGGGCATCACAGCCCACACACCTTGCCTGCATGGCAGAGATCCCTTGCTGCTGAAGCCCTCTGAGCAGAGAGAGAGAGCACCCTGAATCTGATTCCATGTGGCCAATGTTTTCTGGAGGTCAGGAGCCTCGATCCCCACAGAAGGGGCTCATCCGGCACACCTCAGAGAAACACAGCACTCAGTTCTTTTTCTGTATGTATCTTTTCCCTCTGCCCCTTTCTATTGCTTCTGCGGGCTTAGGCTTCCCTGGAAGCCGGGCCCAGGCACAAAAGGGTCTGGAGATGAAATTCCGTTCATGAGATCCACAGTCCCCATTTCAGGGAGGCGGAATCTTGGGGCTAAAGGAAAGAGGGGGCTGAAGTTGGGCCTCTTGAGTCCTGTTCCTATGTGTGACTGAGTCTCAATGCCATTGCTCACATAGGAGTTGTTTAAACGATGTACCCCTTGGGAAAAACTGGGCACCATCCAGTGAGGGGAACAAGAGCCCTGGCAGCTCAGAGAGCTCCTGCCCCTAAGGTTCCTACACTCCTGTTCTGACTCCGGTGGTGGTAGTTGCTGCTCCTGATTCCCCACGGTCCCTCTGTGGGGCCCCAGGCAGGGGCCTCTATCCCCCTGCCAGGGTGCTGGCACCAGCCCTTACCTGGCAGCCCCAGCAGGGTGAAGTAGCCCCGGCACTCGGTGAAGCCAGAGCTCTCTCGGACACAGGAGCGCCACAGCCCTTGGTAGTTGAATACAGCCGTCACCGGGTTGTTGTACAAGTCCTGGGTGCTCCACTGGTCCATGCAGGTGGCGGCAATGATGCCCGCAATCCCGATCAGTGAAACTATGAACCCCAAGCCCTGGCAGGCGGTCACGGCCATGGTGGGGTGCAGCGTTGACACAGAGCGCCACACGACAGAGGGACGGCCCGGTTCTGAGTGTGCAGGGTGTAGGGACGGAGCTTTCTCGGGGAGGCTGGTGCACACGTCACAAACGGGCCATGCAATGGAGGAGGGGACTCAAGAGTGCCACCTGAGCTTGTCCTCCTCCTTTATCTAGCCAAGCCAGATAACTCCCACAACATGGTACCAAGAGCCATTTGTTTTCTACCATATGTACACTCTACTCACTGTTGACCTTCGGAGGGAGTTTCTTTCCTGATTAGCCAGGTTCCCCTCCATGGAGGGTAAAGCAGGCGTAGAGGGCGCTGCCTGGAAGGGCCTGCAGGTTGGTCATGCCTCAGAAATACTTGGAGATGAAAGGGCTTCGCCTGTGAGGCCCTCCCAAAGTATCACTGCTGCTCTAGTTCAGTGAATTAAATAGAACTAAAACATAGGACTGAGAAAATGATGCAAAACATAGAAATAAAGGGATGGAACACATGAAACAGCAGTAAGAAGCTTGGAAGATAGAATGAGAAGCTCCAACATATATCTAATAGGAGTTCCAGAACAAGAGAGTAAAGAGACTGAAAGACACTATTTGGTAAGTGACTGCTTATGAATTTTCCAGAACTGATGAAAAGTAGCATTTCCACATTAAGGATGTCCAATAGTTCCACAAAAGGTAAATAAAAATAAATCAACATCTGGGTGCATTGTAGTATTGCAAAGTACAAAAGATAAAGGGAAAAACCTTTAAAAAACCTGAAAGAAAGGAACTATAGTCAGTATATCAATTGCAGCAATAGGAAACCAGAAGATGACAGAATTATATCTCTAAAGATTGAGAATAAAAGTAACTATCAACCTCAAAACAATGAGAAGACAAACCACAGATAGAAAATATTTGCAAAAGGAAAATATTTTCAAAGAAACATTTTATATCCAAAAAACATACTTGCATAAAGGACTCTTATCCAAAATCTACTAAGACCTTAAAACTCAACAATAAGAAAATGAAGAACCTGATTTAAAAATAAGCAAAATATCTGAACAGTGCCTCATCAAAGAAGATATACAGATGATAAATAAGTATAGGAGAAAATGTCATTAGGGAATCACAAATTAAAACAACAAGATACTAATCCATACCTATTAGAATGGCTAAAATCCAAAACACTAACACCAAATTCTGATGAGGATGTGGAGCAACAGGAACTCTCACTCATTGCTGGTGGAAATGCAAAGGTACAGCCACTTTGGAAGACAGTCTGGCAGTTTCTTACAGAAATACATACTCTTAGCATAAGATCCAGCAGTTGTGCTCCTTGGTATTTACCCAAATGAGCTGAAAACTTACATCCACACAGAAACCTGCATCAGATATTTATAAAAGCTTTATTCATAATTGCCCAAACTTGACAGTAACAAGATGTTTTCCAGTAGGTGAATAGATAAATAAACTGGTATATCCAGACAATGGAATATTATCCAATGCTCAAAGAAATGATCTATCAAGCCATGAAAAGACATTGGGGAACCTTAAGTGCATATTACTAAGTGAAAGAAGCTGTATGGTTTCAACTCTATGACATTCTGGAAAAGGCAAAACTATGGGGGCAATAAAAAAAGATCAGTGATTGCAAGGAACTCAGGGCTCTGGGAGGATTAATCAAAGGAGCATAGAAGATTTTTAAGGCAAGCTATTTTGTATGAAACTACAATGGGTGGACACATGTCATTATATACTTACCAAAATCCATAAACCTACAGCACCAAGAGTGTATGCTAATGTGGGCGCCTGGGTGGCTCAGTCGTTAAGCGTTTGCCTTCAACTCAGGTCATGATCCCAGGGTCCTGGGATCGAGTCCCACATCGGGCTCCCTGCTCGGCAAGAAGCCTGCTTCTCCCTCTCCCATTCCCCCTGCTTGTGTTCCTGCTCTTGCTATTTCTCTCTCTGTCAAATAAATAAATAAAATCTTAAAAAAAAAAAAAAGAGTGTATGCTAATGTAAACTATGAACTTTGGGTGATAATGATGTAGTGTTGGTTCACTGATTGTGACGATGTAGGACTCTGGTGCTGGACATTGATAGTGGGGGAGGCGATGCATGTGTGGGTGCAGGGAGTATGTGGAACCCTCTGTGCTTTCCATTCAATATTGCTGTGAACTTGAAAACAAACTGAGGGTTGCTGGAGTGGGGGGTGGGGTGGGAGGGATGGGGTGACTGGGTCATAGACACTAGGGAGGGTATGTGCTCTGGTAAGCGCTGTGAATTGTGCAAGACTGTTGAATCTCAGATCTGTACCTCTGAAACAAATAATGCAATATATGTTAAGAAAAAAAAAAAGAAGGTAGCAGGAGGGGAAGAATGAAGGGGGGGAAAGCGGAGGGGGAGACGAACCATGAGAGACGATGGACTCTGAAAAACAAACTGAGGGTTCTAGAGGGGAGGGGGATGGGAGGATAGGTTAGCCTGGTGATGGGTATTAAAGATGGCACGTTCTGCATGGAGCACTGGGCGTTATGCACAAACAATGAATCATGGGACACTACATCTAAAACTAATGATGTAATGTATGGGGATTAACATAACAATAAAAAAAATAAAAAAATATTGCTGTGAACTTGAAACTGCTCTAACAAATAACATCTGAGGGCTGAGCTCTATATCTGGGTGGATACTTGAGTGCAGAGGGAAGAACAGCTCTGGAAGGGCAGAGAACAAGGCTTCAGTATGGGCAGGGACTTGGAGTCAGCAGTGGGTGTGAAAATGTAAAATTCTGTGAAATCTTGGGGTGGGCAGTAGACGTCCCCAAAGTGGAATGAGGGCTCAAAACAATCTCCTTTAGATCTTCAGGGAGAGGGGAACTGCCTAGGAGAAATCTCAGTTACATGACTAGTAGAAAAAGCATCCTATTTTGGTGATGTGCTCCATAATTGGGCAATTGTGAGGCCTCAACTGGGAAGAGAGCATTCTGACCCAAAATGCCCTTCAGTTGACTGTGAGGCTTGTTCCTTATAGCTCTGCCCTTCTGGCTGCTGGATGTAAACCTTAGTCCTGCAGTCAAGAGAACACTTCTTATATCTAACCTTCTCTCCAGATGGTCATTTGTCAAGGAGTCTTGGAAACTTGTAGGAATTTTTATTTTTATTAACCAAATCTGGGCATCAGAGGCAAAGCTATCTTGGTATGAATGATAACATGTGAAGAAGTTTATGTCTTAACTCTCACACTGTTTTACCATTTCACCAAAACTGGGCCTCTGTTTCCCAGAGAAATAAAGAATGTTTTTTTATCTACTGTATAGGAATATTTTGAAAACACAGGCTGCATACCACTATGTCCAGAGGTCCTTAGCACTGAGTGCGGGCTTCGAAAAAACAAATTAAAATTTCCAGAAGTGAGAGAACCAGCCTGCTCTTTCCAGGTGAAATGTCCATTCCAGAACCTGTAGGAGAAACTCAGCATGTTCTTGTCATGAGTTCATGCTGCCGAGTCAGATATGACTCAGAAAAATGACCGCTGAACCCTGAGTTTCAGCCTAATATGGGTGTTCCGAGGACAGGATTCAGCCACTTAGTGACTCATTTCCACTTGGTTTGGTTTGTGGGAGTAACAAGATAAAACGCCCCTGACTGTGGACAGAGGGTATAAATACCCCAAGTACCCTATGCCACTTCAGTCTTGAGATTTAATTCTAAAGCCTATAAGCATGGCTATTCGATACTGCCCAGTGTTTGTTGGTTCTCTAGATCTGGCCGTTTTTGAGTCTCAGTTTGAGTGACTAATAGTATATGGATTTTTAATAAAAATATGCCTAGCATTATGCATATGCATCCTCTCAGGCAAGACAAGAATTACGTCCCTAGTTGTTTGCTGAACAGTTTCAATTGGGAAACCCAAACACTGCCCCCTTTGGTGATAAAGCAAGATGCAGCAGGAATGTGGACATGGTCCACAATGTCCAGGTTTTTCCTGTTGCCAGCACATGTCAATACCAAGGAGTAGCCTGCAATACAGGAGGCCCCTTTAGGGCAAATGTTTTCAGACAGAATCAGCCCTTGGCACTAGTGTGGTGACATCACAGATGAGCCTGACTGCCCTGCCCTCACCTGTCTGTCTTTGAGAGCATCCCTTCCTCGTTGCTGCTCAGTGTTCCGGGCACCTCATGCTCCCCGATCTCCCAGCTCTAAACTCTGCTATTAGGAAAGAGGTGTGCTAAAGCCTGATGATTGAACGGCACGGCTTAGTTTGTAACTTGCTTCTGAACTATTTGTATTTCACCCCATGAATCAATTTCCTTTCTCTCCACCTTAAAAACAAGTCAAACAAAACCTTTTCTGTTTGCTGATGGTTTGGTAATCCCCAGAATTTTGAATTGTATGAATGGGAAAATTTTCATATAAAAGATTCCAGGACTCAAAGAGGACACCGGATTTCGATTTTGCCCAGTAAGGCAAAAACTAATTATAACAACCACTCTCATTTACAAGAAAAAGAATATTTTACTAGAAAACCACCATCTGAGAATAAAGCATAGTCATGGATAGCTAGGACATAGATATTTGTATTTATGTTCCACATTATCCTCATCTTTTCCCTTATTTATTTTCAGATGAGAAAACCATTGCCATGGACCAGCACAGGTACAGAAGCCCAGAGCTGGAGGACTAGGAGTTGTCTTATAGCCGGTGAGATGCTGGCCACTAAGATTGTGAAGGGGAGCAATGCCAGGATATACGGGCAGAGACGTGGCTCTTGAGCTGAAGGTGACAGTGGGAATTTTGGTGATCCTGAGGGGAGGTGCTGACTTTGGGAGGAGATGTAGATGGACAAAGATAGGAGATCTTGAGGACTCAGATGGTCCCTGTCTTGTGGAAAGGACAGGGACTGAGGTGGGTGGAAGGGGGAGTGGTGTGTTTGGTAAAAAATCATTTACCTCAAACATGGAAGATAAGGTAAGCAATGAAAAGTCCCTAAAGACAGTGACTATGAC